TGTACTTCAGCCTCCTACTAGGATTTTCCGCCCGCACGGATACCGCATGTGAGATACTGAAAGCTGATTAATAACCGGCTGTTACTAACAGTCGAGACGGATTCATTTACACTATACCGTCTCCCGCTAGGATTTTCCGCCCGCGTGGATACCGCGTGTGAGATACTGAGAGCAGATTAATAATCGGCTATTATTAATCGCCGAAAGGAATTCGTCAACACTACAGACTCGTGTGAAGGCAGTGCGTGCCCGGAAACATCAACTCTCTTCCTCTTTCGCAGTGAAGTTGTGTGCTTACGATCGGAGAAGGATAACGTCTGTGTCTGCTCCGTCACGTTTACTCATACATCCCGTGAGCGGGATAAAGCGTGTGACGCGTGTGCCGACGATAGCGTCGGCAACAAGCAGCCGACAATGTGCGAAAATGTCGACGGCGCTCGAAGGATAAAAAAACTCGCGTGGAGCTAAAAGGCCTCGCTGTTTATTTGTTGAACGCCGGGCGCGGGTCCGTGTGTCCGCTCCTGAGTTAATATAATATCCCTCGCGTAAACTGATAGCTCACGTCCTTTCATCGGCTCCGGGTGAAAGCAAACTATCAGGCTCTCTTTCTCGCGCACTCTCTTTCTCTCTCTCACGCACGCACGCAAGCACGTGCGTATTACTTTATATTACGCATTAATTGTTCAGTAATATAAGTGAAGACGGTTTGTAACATTATCCGTTCGGTGAGATGTATATGTGTGTGGAAGTCATGTCATCGCTAACATGCGCCTATTCATCCTACCGGCATGTCTACGTATGGAGCTTAGAGTAGGATAGACCCATTCGGCATCAGATGTGACATAACAGATAAGGTTCGTATCAAGAACTTTACAATTGCACATTAAAAGTGGCAGTGTATACTCCCCCAGGGCCGTAGCTAGCGGGAAGGGGAGGGAGGGAGAGGGGGTGATCCCCCCAGACATGTACTGGTGTGTATCTACTATATGCAGATACTATTACGAGGTCAATGGCCAACGGCGTCCTACCCACGGTCAACTGCCCAGAGCGCAGACCACGCGTGGCTATCTGCCTCCTCCAACCAAAGTGAGTTAGCTACGGCCCTGACTCCTGATATCATATATATATATATATATATATTTATATATATATATATATATATATATATATATGGATGTATTCTAATATAAGGGCTTGGCGTGTAAATATGGGATTGCGACGATGATGACATATATCGAATTAATGAGAGCGAGGCTGAACAGACAGTAGAGGAGGTGTCATCAACCCTGCATCCTCCCCCCGACCCCCGACCGCGTGACATGCTGCTAAACACGTATAGTGAAGGACGAGCTGGGACTACTGTATGCGAAATAAGTCCTGTATCGACATTTTTCAACGCATGCTCTTCATTCGTTAACCCTCTAGCAGCCAAGACATCTAATATGAGGGGAAAACTTTTTTCCTTTCACAGCAGACTTACACTTGATATCCTTCTATGTGTTCCATAGTCAAAACCAAGTTTTGTCCCATTTGACTTACTTTTCCAAATTATTGCTCGTGGGCAACAGTGGCCGCTAGAGGGTTAAACCTATAGACAATGGATTTTACGATGATTTGCTGAATGTATGTTCATAATAACGTACGGTGGTGTGTAATGGACATGTATGAAGGTGATGCACCACTGATGGTGTTATTTTGTCGTCATGGTGATGTTCTCTTACTTTGATGCGGCGACGTGCTGAGTTAAGCATCACTTGCAATTTAATTTATTCCATTTTATACTTGATAATATCGTGTAATATAGTTTAACCGATGAGCATCTTTTAGAATGATCATGAGATACAAAAGTGAGAGCGGGTACATGATGTACATCTCTCGCTATCTCTATACATGACAAGGCAGGAGGCATTGGTGTGGATTAATGCAGTGCTGTTATGTAACTGTTTTGATTTATTGCGTGATAATACATTGATACATTTGATCTTCAAATCATTAAACGTATAGGCGTTTAGAATTGTGGTTGCCATATATTTACACGTATATATTTACGCGCGGATTTCAACGCATGTAATGCTAGCCGCACACTATCCGACCCGAGGCTTACGATTGGACCGGGAGGCTCAAGTTTGGCTCGAGAGGCTTAAGTTTGGCTCGGGTGGTCATTTTGGCCCGATTCGAATTTTGAATCGGGAGCGGATCGGGTCGTATAGTGTGCGAGGGCTTAGTGCTGTGCACAGTGCAAAATCGGATAGTGTGCGGCTAGCATTAGCATATTTGTGAAAGTTATTTACGAATAGTCTGCCTTTGCGCTGTTCATATTTCCGTGGACCGGGCAGTGTAAATTCCACAGCTGTCTGTTTATACGTTTGTAGCAGGTGTCCTTACGTTCGCAATACGGTCCCGTAGTGTCGGCGCTGTATCGGAATGTTTAGAACGATCGAGAATAATACTGACGCACAAAAGCCCACACGTACATACACGCACACACACGCGCGCGCGCGCACACATACAGAGGCACACGCACACGACACGCACACACCCGCGCGTGCATACCACACACACACAAACGCGCGCACAGCACGCACGCACGCACACGTGCACGCACGGTAATGAAGCGCGTGCGTGGTGTGATAGAGGCGCCTCCCCATGCATCCCAGCATCCCAGCTTCACATTACAACATCGCGCGCTGGTTCGCGTTACCACGGCGACAGCGTCGCAGCTTCCGCGCGCGGCGCCGGCGCAAACATCGCACATCCCGCGCGCGGCGCCTTTACTTATGCTCAATAACGAATGCGAAAAAATTAGCCATTATATCTCACGCCGCGCTGCTTTGTGAGGACGCAAAACAAACAAGCCAGCGCTTTCTGACCAGCAAAACATCGTTAAACCTGCCACACAGCGCTCCGCATGGCAATTCCTTCCGCCGCGTAACTAGATGTCCATGGAGACCATCGTGGCAGAGCATTCGCGGAATGGCCATCGCGATGGCGCGGCGGCGTAAAGAGACGTGCTGCGTGCGGCACACGACACTCACGATAGCGCCGAGATGTTTTAACGACAGGAAGAGGGAGACGCGAGAGCGATCGGAGACGATCGGTCGGCCTTCTCTGACCTGAAAGTGGGTCGCGAGGCTTCACATCAGCAGTGAGGAGCTGGGGAGGGGGGGGGGCGTGCGGCCCAGGCTATTACTCACCAGTGAGCTTCTCGTGTGTCTCGCGACTACTGCACGCAGCGTTACATGGAACAGATACACACCAGTGAGTTCTAAGGGGGAGGGGGAGGCTGTTCTGTCCGCCTTATATTTCTATAATAGATGATGATGTGATCACAAGAAAAAGTAGCTGTTGTTGATAGATCAAAACTAGAATCGAGTCTATAGAATGGCCAACCTCGATATGCATGATAGGTTTCACGTTTGTTTACAGTTTTACAAATAATAAACATTATTATATATTTCCCTAGACTCGTTAGTGGAGTAGGCGAGGTACGGTCCGGCATATTAGATAGTACCAGGGTACGTTCCGGTATACCGGACCGTACCCAGGGTACGTCCCGGCAGTACCCCGGGGGACATAGACCCTCTCAGCGCCACTTTCGTCACAGCTGTTTCTTCCGTGCGCTGTATGGGAATGCACATAATTAATGCCTCCACTGCTTAATTCGCGGTGGCTAGATTACACGCTCGTTTTCCACCACTGCCTCTCATCATCTCTGCCATTCTCTTCTCTCAGACCCCTCTCTATATTTCTATACTTGCGAATTCCCCGCATCTCTCTCTCTCTCTCTCTCTCTCTCTCTCTCTCTCTCTCTCTCTCTCTCTTTCGCCTTCTCTCTCTCCCTCTCCCTCTCTCTCTCTTTACCTATCCATTCTCCACATTACTCTCTTTCTCTGTTCACCATGCAGTACCCATTCGAATATTTTTATCGCCTCTGTTTAGTTTTACGCAATTACAAAATAAATTACATTTATTTCTCATCTACGCATAAAAATCGTCGTTTCATTCTCGCAACGTGATCGCCGTATCAGGATGACCTCAACTGTTCCCCTGTGTTTCCCCTCTGCCAATTAACGCTGCATTAATCATACCAAGGGTCTATCAATATTGATAGACTCCTGATCATACGAGGAAGATATAGGTTCTGCGAGTCGTCTGTGTTCTCCTGGGAGAGCACGGAGGGCGACATTGCTTTGTCCGACCGCTGGCCCGCTGGGTTGTGACATATAGGTTAGTGCTTTGTCCGACCGCTGGCCCGCTGGGTTGTGACATAGGTTAGTGCTTTGTCCGGCCGCCTGGCCAGCCACAAATCACAGACCGGCAAATTAACGCCCCTCCCCCCCCCCCGTTAGTTATCCATGCCTAGAGCAGGTTACTAATTAATCGTATAATCGCATAATGATCTCGATAATTAGAGTTATGGGCGGACAGAAATGGAAGGCAGACAGACGTGCGCATGCACGCACGCACGCACGCACGCAATTACGCACGCACGGACGCACGCACTCACGCACGCACGCACGCACGCACGCACGCACGCGCGCGCATCACACAACCACAAAGAGACGGAGTGACGGAAGAGCGAACGGACGGATATTTACAGATAGATGGATGGACGGACGGACGAACGAACGGACGAACTGACGGGTGGACGGACAGACAAACGGACGGGCGAACGGATGCATGGATGGATGGAGGATGGTTGGATAGATGGTTGGGTAAATAGATGCATGGATGGATATAATCGCGGCTGGATATATGCATAAATGGATGCATGGAAAGATGATTATGTGGCTGGATATATATATATATGCCTGAATAACTGAATAAATGGATCGATAACGGTATATAGAACATTTTAATTGACAAAATACGGCCATAATCAAAACGATTTTGACTTAAAAGCAAATTAATACACACACGTATATATACATACGCAAAGCCACGGAATAAAAACCTAATTAAGAGCTGAATCCAGCCTTCAATTCAAACTGTTTCGGGTCATGTTTGCTGATCTGAAGGCATTGCCGAACCACTGTTTGCTAAGCTGCTGCTCTATTGTATTTGCAATAAAGTGACCGATTTCGTCTGCTGCAACCCTATTAGTTAGAAGCCGTAGTTGACACGTATACATACAACCGCTGACGGGTAATCGATGGGCCTCCTTGATGAGATGGTTCTTGTAATGTGGGCGGGCAGAACGCGAAATTGATTGGAGAACGAATTATATACGTCGCGGAGAAACCTGCCCTGGTACGCGCTGGAGAAGGTTATGCTGGCCAGAAGGATCATTTTCAGGGTCCGAAACTCCGAATATCATCTTACGTCACGCTGCAGGCATTGTGCACCACTTTTCTCTCAGGTCCAACCCTCCCAGACCGTGATGTTATAATGTTATTAGCGATATGATATAGTAGGAGATATATCATAGTACCGCAATATGTCTCCAATAAATTCACCTTCCGCAGCTTATAACTTGATAGAGAGAGAGAGAGAGGGAGGGGAGAAGGAGAGAGATAGAGAGAGAGAGAGAGAGAGAGAGAGAGAGAGAGAGAGAGAGAGAGGAGGAGGAGGAGAGAGAGAGAGAGAGAGAGAGAGAGAGAGAGAGAGAGAGAGAGAGAGAGATATAAACAGAAAGAGATGGAGAAGAGAGATAGAGAAGAGAGAAGAAAGAAGAGAGAGAGCAGGAGAGCAGGACTGAGAGAGAGAGGAGAAGATTGATAACCATTGGGATTGTTACAAAGTAAGGCGGTGAACTCGCGATATGTGGAACTTGCCGCTTGATCACTACGTACGCTACAACGCACACACACAACACACACGACGACACACCCACACAACACACACTACACACACAGCCTCACACGCAACAGCGACGAACACACACACACACACAACACACAAGCCACACAATACACACACACACCACGGTCGCACACAAACACACTCGCACACACACACGCACAGCACACACACACAACAGCAAGGCCGGACACGGTCACACACACACACACACAGCACTACCACATACAACACAGCACATCACACACACACACACAGGCATCACGCGCGCACGCATATAACCAGCGACGGCTCTAAGAATTTCTTTATAGAAGGAGCAGGTGGGGTGGCAATCTGGTTGGAAGAGAAGGCCGAGACCTTGGGTTCGTCTCGAAGCGCTGCGTTTGCAGAGCGAGCACGCTAATATCACTTATTACTTGGTGGTGGCTTCGGAGAGAATAGGGCTCATGAAGATAATATGGAGGCTGTAGCCACTCCTCCCCAAGCCACCGCTTGAGGGCCGCCACTGAAAACATTTTTTTCTCTCTTGTTTTCCATTGCAGGTAATCTTCTCGTCATAGTCGTCATCACGTGTCACCCGCGCATGCGCACCATCACCAACTTCCTCTTCGCCAACCTGGCGGCGGCCAACATCAGCGTGTGTTTGTTCAACATCGTGCCGACGCTCTACCTGGTCGTGTGGAACCAGAGCCTCATGGTCGGCACCTGGTGTCCGCTGACAATGTTCGTCATGGGTCTCTCCTACTGCGCGTCGAGTCTCATCCTCATGGCGCTGTCCGGCGAACGCTACATCGCCATCGTGCATTCCATGAAGTACAAGCAGATTCTGACGAAGCGTCGCATCTGGGTGATCACGATCACGGCCTGGCTGATATCGGGCGCCTACAGCTCGACGTATCTCTTCATCTATCGCGACTTCGAGCGCCTGAACGCCGTCAACTACACGGTGAAGCACTATTGCGCCATCGACGCGACGCGGCTCGGCGCCGGCTTTCACGTGCTCGCCTTCGACGTCGCCGAGGTCGTGCTCTGGTTCCTCCTGCCGTCCGTCTTCCTCTCCGTCGTCTGCGGCAAGATCTGCATCACGCTGTGGCGCAGTCAGAAGAGCATCCAGCACAACAGCGACCTCCGGCGGCAGTCGCGCGCGACCGAGGTGCCTCTTGTTAACGGCAAGCTGACGATAGGCGCCGCTGAGAGCGGCCTCGCCGGCGACACGTCGCCGCGGCGCGCGTCGATTAACGGCGACGCTCGTCTGCAGGTGTTCGCGCCGTCGCTCGGCGACCACGACGACGATGACGATAACGAGCCGTCGCCGACGGCGCGCCGCAGCAGCGACCCGCCGTTTCTCGCCGTGCCGCAGTCGGTGACGCCGCTGCAGCAGCGTCGCTTCTCACTGAGCACGGCGCTGCGCGGCAGCATGCAGAATCTCGCCGCGTGGCGACGCGAGAGCGACGTGTCGGCGGCGTTCCTCACGCGCAGCGAGAAGAGCGTGCTCGACGTACGCAAGCGCATCATCAAGATGCTCATTGCTGTCATACTGTCGCTGATCCTGCTCTCGCTGCCCTACCGCGTCTACGGCCTCATGATACACTGGTACGCCGTCGCGACGATGTCGCTCTTCGTGCGCGTCGCCTTTCTGCTGCTCTACATGATCAACGTCGTCATCCCCGGACTGCTGTTCGGAACGAGCGCCATCTTCCGGAAGGCTCTCGTCGAGCTGCTCACGGGCAAGGCCGGGCCAAGGTCACACCGTCGACGCAAGCAGATGGTCGTGCCCGTGGTGACGCTCAACGACGCGTGAATGAGTAAATGCATGAGTGAATTAATGAAAGAAAGAATGAATGAATGAATTAATTAATTATTAATTATTAATTATTAATTAATTAATAAATGGATGGGTGGATGAATGGTAAATGAATGAGTGCCATAATATGAATGAATGGATGGATGAATGAATTGAATGCATTGAATGGTTAGTGCATGATTGTTAATGACTGCCATGAATGAATGAATGATGAATAAATAAATTAAATAAATGAATGAATTAATTAATTAATTAATTATTAATAAATGAAATGACTGGATGGACGGATGGATGATGAGGAGGTGAATGAAATGAATAAATGAATGAATAAAGAATGAATAGAATGAATGAAATGAAGATAATGAATGAATGAATGAATGAATGGAATGATATGAATGAATGAATGAATGAATGTATGAATGCATGAATGAATGAGTGCATTATGAATGACTGTATGGATTAATTAATTAATTAATTAATATATAAAATCGATGGGTGGATAAATGGATGAATGGATAATGAATGAGTGATTAAATGAATGCATTAATGAATGAATGACTGCATGAATGAATGAATGAATGAATAAATAAATAAATGAATAAATGAATGAATGAATGGGTGGATGAATAAATGAGTGAATGACATGAATGGTGTGCGAATGGATGAATGAATTAATGACAGTAAGAATGAATGAATAAATGAAATAATGATGAATGAATAAATGAATGAATGAATGAAGGAAGAATGAATGAATGAGATGAATGAATGAATGATGAATGAATGAATGAATGACATGAATGAATGGAATGAATGAATGAATGAATGAATTGAATGAATGAATAATTGAAGGAATGAATGAATGAATGATAATGAATGAATGAATAATATGATGAATGAATGAATGAAGATATGACATGAAATGAGATAATGGATGATATGGTGATGGATGGATGGTGGATGGATGGATGGATGGATGGATGATGGATGGATGGATGGATGGAGTGGATGGATGGATGGATGGATGGAGGTGGATGGATGGATGGATGGATGATGGATGGATGGATGGATGGAATGGATGGATGGATGGATGGATGGATGGATGGAATGGTGCATGGATGGATGGATGGATGGATGGATGGATGATGATGCTGGATGATGATGGATGGGATGGATGGATGGATGATGGATGGATGGATGGATGGTATGGATGGTGATGGATGGATGGATGATGGATAGAATTGATGGTGAATGGTGGATAGATGGATAGATGGATGGATAGAGAATAGATGGAGAAATGATGGATGGTGGTGAATGAATGATGAATGAATGAATGAAGAATGAATGAATGAATGAATGAATGAATGAATGAAGGAATGAACAGAGGGATGCGACTGCATCCTATGTTAAGGTCCCCCCGTGCGTGCATTGTCATCACCATCATCTCACATTGTCACCGTGACCGTAATATTATTCCTGACCTCACTCCTAACCCTAATCCTAGCTCTAATCCTAATCCTAACTGTAATCCTAATCCTAACCCTAATCCTAATCATAATCCTAACTCTAACCCTAATCCTAATCCTAACCCTATTTTAAACCCTAATCTTAACTATAACGCCAATACTGGTCCTCACCGTAATCCTAACTCTAATCCTAATCCTAACTGTAATCTTAATCCTAACCCTAATCATAATCATAATCCTAACTCTAACCCTAATCCTAATCCTAACTTTTAAACCCTAATCTTAACTATAACGCCAATACTGGTCCTCACCGTAATCCTAACTCTAATCCTAACTCTAACCATATTCTTAACCCTAATCCTAACGCTAGTCCTAACATCAACATTAACCATAGCCGTGTGCCGACCGTAATGTAAATAATATTTAATAATTATAACCATATTGTTCGCGGGGTTAGCTGCAGACGATAGTAGAATTTAGTCGACCAATCGCGGCTCAGTACGCTTGCGTAGGGTTTCTAAAAGTGCAGGTGATCGGTTGTGTATATAGGTCGCGCACGCACGCACGCACTCACGCACGCACGCACGCAAGCACGTGCGTATTACTTTATATTACGCCATTAACTGCCCTTCAGTAATATAAGGTGAAGACGGTTGTTAACATTGATCCGTTCGGTGAGATGTATATGTGTGTGGAAGTCATGTCATCGCTAACATGCGCCTATTCATCCTCCGGCCATGTCTACGTATGGAGCTTAGAGTAGAGATAGACCCTTCGGCATCAGATGTGACATAACAGATAAGGTTCGTATCAAGAATTTTTTTTTTTCAATTGCACATTAAAAGTGGTAGTTTATACTCCCCAGGGCCGTAGCTAGCGGGAAGGGGCAGGAGGAGAGGAGGTGATCCCCTCAAGACATGTACTGGTGTGTATCTACTATATGCAGATACTATTACGAGGGTCAATGGCCAACGCGTCCTACCCACGGTCAACTGCCCAGAGCGCAGACCACGCGTGGCTATCTGCCTCTCCAACCAAAGTGAGTTAGTACGGCCCTGACTCCTGATATTCATATATTATATATATATATATATATATATATATATAATTTATATATATATATATATATATATATATATATATCAGGAGTGTAATATACACTCCTATATATATGGATGTTATCTAATATAGAGGCTTGGCGTGTAAATATGGGATTGCGACGATGGGACATATATCGAATTAATGAGAGCGAGGCTGAACAGTTCTCGACAGTAGAGGAGGGTGTCATCAACCCTGCATCCTCCCCCCGACCCCCGACTGCGTGACATGCTGCTAAACACGTATACTGAAGGTCGAGCTGGGGACTACTGTATGCGAATAAGTTCCTTATCGACATTTTCAACGCATACTCTTCATTCGTTAAACCTCTAGCCGCCAAGACATCTAATTATAAGGGGAAAACTTGTTTCCTTTCACAGCAGACTTACACTTGATATGCTCTCTATGTGTTTCCATAGTCAAAACCAAGTTTTGTCCATTTGACTTACTTTTCCAAAATTATCTGTGTGGCAACAGTGGCGCTAGAGCGTTAAACCTATAGACAATGGATTTTACGATGATTTGCTGAATGTATGTTCATAATAAAGTAGCGTGGTGTGTAATGACATGTATGAAAGGTGATGCACCACTGATGGTGTTATTTTTGTCGTCATGGTGATGTTCTCTTACTTTGATGCGGCCGTCGTGCTGCAGTTAAGCATCACATGCAATTTAATTTATTCCATATTTATATTTGATAATATCGTGTAATATAGTTTAACCGATGAGCATCTTTTAGAATGATCATGAGATACAAAGTGGAGAGCAGGTACATGATGTACATCTCTCGCTATCTCTATAGCATGACAAGGCAGGAGGCATTGGTTGTGCGATTATGCAGTGCTGTTATGTACTGTTTGATTTATTGCGTGATAATACATTGCATACATTTGATCTTCAAATCATTAACGTATAGGCGTTTTAGAATTTTTGGTTGCCATATATTTTACCGTATATATTTACGCGCGGTATTTCAACGCATGTAATGCTAGCGCCACACTTATCCGCACAGCGAGGCTTACGATTGGACGGAGGCTTAAGTTTGGCTCGAGAGGCTTAAGTTTGGCTCGCGGTGGTCATTTTGGCCCCGATTCGAATTTTGGATCGGGAGCGGATCGGTTCGTATAGTGTGCGAGGGCTTAGTGCTGGTGCACAGTGCAAAATCGGATAGTGTGCGGCTAGCATTTAGCTAATTTGTTGAAAGTTATTTACGAATAGTCTGCCTTTGCGCTGTTCATATTTCCGTGGACGCGGCGCAGTGTAAATTCCACAGCTGTCTGTTTATACGTTGTAGCAGGTGTCTTACGTTCGCAATACGGATCCGTAGTGTCGGCGCATGTATCGGAATGTTTAGAACGATCGAGAATAATACTGACGCACAAAAGCCCACACGTACATACACGCAAAGCACCACACGCGCGCGCGCGCCGCGCACTTACAGAGGCACACGCAACACGACCGCACACAGCGCGCGTGCATACCACCACACACACAAACGCGGCCCACAGCACGACACGCACGCACGCACGCACGCACACGCACGACACCGTGCACACACGTAATGCAAGCGCGTACGTAGTGTGATAGAGGCGCCTCCCCATGCCATCCCAGCATCCCAGCGCTTAACAATTACACCATCGCGCGCTGGTTCGGTTACCACGGCGACAGCGTTCGCAGCTTCCGCGCGCGGCGCCGGCGCAAACATCGCACATCCCGCGCGCGGCGTCTTTACTTATGCTCAATAACGAATGCGAAAAAATTAGCCATTATATCTCACGCCTCGCTGCTTTGTGAGGACGCAAAACAAACAAGCCAGCGCTTTCTGACCAGCGCAAAACATCGTTAACCTGCCACACAGCCGCTCCGCATGCAATTCCTTCCGCCGCGTAACTAGATGTTACGGAGCCATCGTGCAGAGGCATTCGCCGGAATGGCCATCGCGCGATGGCGCGGCGGCGTAAAGAGACGTGCTGCGTGCCGCACACGACACTCACGATAGCGCCGAGATGTTTTAACGACAGGAAGAGGGAGACGCGAGAGCGATCGGACACGATCGTTCGGCGCTTCTCTTGACCTGAAAGTGGTGTGGTCGCGAGGCTTCACATCAGCAGTGAGTGAGCTGCGGGTGGGGGGGGGCGGCGGTGCGGCCAGGCTATTACTCACCAGTGAGCTTCTCGTGTGTTCTCGCGACTACTGCACGCAGCGTTACATAGAACAGATAACACCCAGTGAGGTCTAAGGGGGAGGGGAGGCTGTTTCTGTGCCGCTTATATTTCTATAATAGATGACGATGTGATCACAAGAAAAAGTAGCTGTTGTTGATAGTATAAAACTAGAATCGAGTCTTTAGAATGGCAAACCTGATATGCATTATACGTTTCACGTTTGTTTACGTTTTTGCAACTAATAATAACATTCTATAATATTATACATATATATATATATATATATATATTAATAAATATATATATAATATATATATATATGTATTATATATTATATAATATTATATATATATACTATATATATATATTATTATTTATAATATATATTATTAATATATATTAGTATATATATATAATATATATATATAAACACCAATTCTAAACTCGTCGATATAATCGTATCAAAACCAGTTGAAGGCTGAAGAAAACGAAGCTGTCGTTTATCCACGTGTGTGCAGTGTCATTAACATGCACATGCCTCATTGACTCCCTTACCAGCCAGTAACCCCACACTCTGTCACAGACTGCCATCTCTGTCACACTATGTGTGTTCGTGCACCCGTCCTTCAGATAACGAAAAGGTTAGGGAAACTGCTTCTATGACTCAAGCCTGTACGGGATGCGGTGTGGGAATCTTCACAGCACGCCTGCGTCCACGGTGGCCAGAGGACACGCGGTTTAATATTAATGGCGGTTATTATCATTCTTGCGAATTACGCGCCGAGGGCATGCAAGCGTCGGACGTGGAAGGACCACGGCTACGATGGCTACACGACTGCAAGCGTGCTGCTTGGAAAGATGGCCGCTGAATGATTTGCCACAGTTTGCAATATCCAGCATGTATTTCGCTACGGGAGAATATACGCTTAATATCAGAACTAGGACGGTGACAGCGACAGGAGACGCCGCAAATAGCCGAGCGTCGTCATCTCGTTCTCGTTACACACTTAGATCGTCCATTCCGCACTAAGAACTTCACTAAGAACAGACTTCGCTAAGATCCGCACTGAAAACTTTACGTTACAACGATCCTGTAAGAATGTCACACTTGAAACTTCACACACGTCGGCTATATCCTATCTTACGTGTTTTGCTAGGAACGATTAAAAACCTAGCTCACACTAGGAACTTTATACACGTTCTAAAAATCCAGTGAGACTTTAACACTTAGAACTTTACGCACATCGTTTATATCCTATCTATAGATTTACGTGCTTCGCTAGGGACGATTAGAAACTCTACACTAGGAACTTTACGCACGTTCTGAAGATTCAGTGAGAATTTAACACTTAGAACTTTACGCAGGCAGTTTATATCCTATATTTAGTGCTTCGCTTCACGCATGCTTTCCCCCCGCTGCAACAAGTTCTCGTATTGCAACCTCCACATGCGGATAAGGACAAAAGAAGCGCATCAAGATGAAAAAGCAGATCAAGATTAATTGCGCACGGGCGCTGAGTATACGTTAGGCTGCTAGAATGAAGCCCCGCACACGCACGTGCAGTCCCATGATACGTACTGACCTACATGTGGGCTGCGGGCGGGGGGTGGGGGCACAGCCAACAGGCACGCTAATGGATATGGGAAAGGACGCGCATTCCAGAGCGCGGCTGCCCGCGGTAACGTTTACACAATAAAAAAACCCTTAATGATCGAGAATGCTATTACATACGTTGCCAGTCAACAAGAATGCAAATCTTAACTACCGCATGTCTGTTTACTATCAATAAAAACTCTTGCAAAGCTGCTATTGATAAGTCTAGTCTGAATGCTCCGTCCACGTACAGTCTGTCAGCTCACTGAAGCTCTACTTTGGAGGGCTTCCTTAGTATGAAGAGGCGTTGCGAGATGTCATAGAATTCATGTAGGCAAAAAGCCACAAGCAGTTTCAAATTGATACTTTTAGATACTTTGATATTTATACGGGAACCTGGCAAAAAGACGTTTAACGTGGGTAATATGACACGGAGTTGGGTTTTTAATCAACATTTTAATAAAAATCAAGTCATCCTTACGAACGCCGTTTAGCGTAAATGAATGTGGAACACGGCTACAGTTCAAATATATTTGCAATAGCGCAGTTATTAGATATTTTACACGTCTTTTACTCATACTATGATCTTCAGCATCGTTGCGATATGCTCACGACATATATAGCGTGTACGCCGCTCATATAGTCATTACAGCTCTAACTGCAGCAATCTGAAGACGCAGCGTAAAATCCCTTCTAGCGTATATACACCTCGATACTTCCCCCTGGGTTTCGCAGACTACGCCTCAAAGAGCCGTTCGATTGCGCGTTTTGTTATAATTTGTATGTAGAATAAAAAGAATCGGTCGGCTGATACGTGTAACCGATGCTATGTATACACCGAGTGTTATGACAGAGTGTGGTTTATTGGTTATGGGGGAAGTCAGTGATGTAGGTGCATGTTAATAACGCACACGCGTTGATAAACCATAATGTTCTTTTTCTTTATTCTTTGTCGTTTTGTTCTGCTTGTTTTCTTCGTTTCGTTTTGTTTTTTGTTTTGCCATGATAGTTTAGAATTGTTGCTTTTTGTGAAACTGTGAAACGAACGTGAAACGAACACTGTTAATCCAGGTTGGCCATTCTAGACACGGTTATTTCTTTTGAGTAGAGGTAGTGTTTCTCAGCACCTACAAATTGGAATGCTAGCGCCATCTATTGATTAGACATGCTAAATTCTTGATCGAAACGTGAGGTAAGTCTAAGAGCATTGTGTGCTGTGGGCGGCTAGTCTGTGATTGATGAAAATTAATAAATTATACTGAATCAGTTCAATGATTAGTGGGTCCAGCAATTTTGGGAATGGTGTAATCCAGGACAAATCTCCTTTAACATAATGAAAGCACACAAAATTTGTTCCAATCATACACTTCATTACATTTTTAACATTAACGTATTTTTAATTTAAACATACTTTATTTTTAACATCACAGACTGCACTTTGCTGTAAAAACATAAATATGTTATAGATATTCCCTTACATTGTGGCATAATGTACATTAACACAGTAAGTATTGCTTGTGTAATTCAGGGGATGACAACGGTACAGTGTAGCTTAATATCAATAAGTTAGAAACTTCCTCACACAAAATGACGACTGGGCAGAATTTTCAAAATTCCACTTTCAGAACAAAGAGATCAATTTCAGCAAAAATATCCACATTGTGCCAAAATCCAGAAAACAGCAACAGATACACTACCAATGTAATCAATCACTGTCTGTGGACCACCTATGCTGTGCTTGTTATATTGCTTATGCTGGGTTGTTTACCTTGCTTATGCTGGGTTGTTTACCTTGCTTATGCTGGGTTGTTTACCTTGCTTATGCTGGGTTGTTTACCTTGC